AGAGATGCATAGAGATGCAGAAAACAACGTGGTGAAGGCCAGCGGGTGGAGCGGGGGCTTGGTGGAAGGGGGAATAGGAAAAAAGTGGGGAACATCTGTAATAGTGTCAATAATAAAAAAAATTAAAATAAAAAGATGATTTAAAAAACAAAACAAAAAAGTAGAGACAGACAACTAAATCTGTTAAGCTGACGATAACGCACCTTTCTTTTGAGTGTAACAGTGAGTCCCTATTTATAGTCTAAATTATAAGGACGTTCCCCATTGGGCAGAAGCTTAAGTGCTAGATATTTTCTAGATGTCTAAGGCTGTTAAATATTTCCTCTATTCCTGGCTACAATCATTTGCAAGTTTTTCCTATATAGCTACTTAAAATCCAACATTGTTTAGGACAAATATCTTCTATCTAATAGGTATTAAATATTATATAAGACATTGAAGACACTTTCATAGACTGAAATTTTGTTTCTTAACTCAATGTTATCTAAACAGTTGTCTGCGCATGTTCCCAGGTGTCCATAACTAAAAAAAAATTTAGGGATTTCTGCATTATCAAATTTCAGAAATATTCATTAGACCTCTCTTGTAGGACACCTTGAGACTCCAGCCCCTTTCTTTCTCTTAGTCTAATACAAAATACTTTAATAGCATTTCCAGGCCCCAATGCTCTTCTAACAGACTGCCTTCTTAGCAAGACATGGTATTTCTTAGAAATGTGCCCTTCCATGAACTGCTGCCAGTTATCAGCCATGACAGTATTTCCCAAAATGTATCCTGGACAGAAATGGTACAAGGAAATGTTCTAGGAAGAAAACTAAATACAGGAATATATTCTAGAGTCTATATATAAGACTGAATCATATGAAATGACCAGTTAAAAAATATTTCATATGGTTCAAACTAACATTTACATGCATCTATAAAGTTAAAGCCTATAGTGATTTTCTTCTGTTCTTAAATATTTTTCTGCCATAATCTTGCTAAACAGAATTCATTAATTTCTGCCATGGCCAATAAATATAGTAATAATTATACTTGGTCAAAAGCCAAACTGAGAAATAAATGAATAAAATAGAAAATAGCCTCACAGATAGAAGAACAGAATTATGGTTTCCAGATTGGTGGGGGTGGGGAGGGTGGGGGAACAGGGTGAAAAAGGTGAAGGATTAAGTTACAAATTGGTAGTGACAGAATAATCATGTGGATGCAAAGTACAGCATAAGGAATATAGTCAGTAACATGGTAATAACTATGTATGGTGCCAGATGGGTAACTGAAATACCAGGGGGATCATTTTGTAAAGCATGATTGTCTAACCACTACAGTCTGTACCTGAAACAGACACAAGCTAATATGGAATGTAAACTGTGATTGAAAAATAAAATAAAATAGAACAGATGTTCAAGAAAATCATTCGCTTTGAGTAAGTCCGCCAGCTACTAAGACAGTTTGCACAACTAAGCCTGGCAGTCCTAACTCCTATCAGAGACGAAAACTCTTCACGGCATGTACGTAGTCAGATACCTGCAAGAGCAGTGGGACAAGCATCTGAATGTCACGGGACCACACGATGGGAGGTTCTGAGATGCAGAAACAGGTTGTTCACACTGCAGTGCCTATTGATACTGAGAGCACTTCAGTTCATCTCTACCATCCAAACATTACAGACTACCATCGTTTATTTACCGCATTTTAATAAAGATTCTATGCTAATAGATTTTACTCCTTTCTATGTGTTATTATTTTTATTTGGGCCATATGCCTTATTAGAAACAATATTTAGCCCATTGAGCCTCAATGTCAATAAAAAGCTCTTACCACCTGAAGTCAATCTGTTCTGTTTGAGGGATGGTATAATACAACCAACTACAAAATAAGCCAATGTAATATTTATTCTCAGTTCACCAACATTATGAGTGGAAATTAAAGGTACTGACCAACTCAAGTATGCATGTTTTATACTAGGCTTCCAATATATGTATATGTATACATATATAAGTACATATAATATATAAAATATGTTTATTGAATGTGCAGAAAAATTTGGTATTTTTTCCATTGGTTAGCTTCATTATTTTATCATGGGAAGCACAAATTTGTACCTCACTTCCAAGACACTAAGTAACCGTACAGATCTAACCCACCAATCGTAACAATTTCCACACAGAGCACACAACGGAGTCAGTAGAGACGGAATTTCATTGCTGCTAGTAGCTCAAAACAAGTACTTTGGTTTGATAGATGCTATTAACAACATATTTCTCAATTTTAATTTTAGGAACACTACAGTAACTGTTTCCTTGGTTTTCTGGAACATAATTGCTACATAAATTTAGGATCCGACTAAGTCACACAATGAGGAATAAAGCCTTCTGGAATACTGGCAATTTATCTGCAGAAAAGGACACTAATGTATGTGGGGGGTTTTACCCTAAATGTATTAATTCATGCAGCTACCAACAGTGTAGCTGCAACATTACCAGAAAATAAATTGTCATCATTCTTTTATGATTTTTATTTTCTAGCTCCCATTCCATTAATGTATCTTTTTATAGTTTTACCTCAAAGCTTATTACTGTTGGTATCAAATATGCAAATATCAGAACATAGAATTTATGAATGCGTATTTTGTGAGCACACAAACTCACTCTACAAAACGTTAATCTAGTTTCCAAAGGAGCTAGTATTCAACAACATACTGTTTCCCCCAGGACTTAATTATTGATGTACATAACTATTTTGAGAAATTCTAAGTACCCTGAGCATATAAAGAATTCCTAAGTAAAAAAAAAAAAAATGCTGTCAAGCCTTCCCCCAAACCAACTGGGCAAGGGTGACAAGTCAGCACATAAGGAATGGTTTCTCTTCCTCTGCTCACATTCCCTGCCGTGTCCTCCAAAGGGGCGGACGGCCTTTTCTGCAACAGGAACGCGACAGGGGCACCAGGTAAAAGAACCAGTAGGAAGCAATGACACCAATTATTCTTATCTTCAAGTTTGTTAATTGATAAAACAATGCAAATGGCAATATCACTGACAATATAATGTGTGGCAATATATATGAGTGACAAATTATGCCTGAGATTCTACCTGTCCCCAAATCATTACAATTGTTAACAAATCTTGACCTTAGCCCCCGGGGATTTAAAATACCACTTATTAGGTTAAAATTATAATAGATCAGAACTCAGGTTCTACTCATTTTGTACTCATCAAATGCCCTGAATTGTTTAATGTACATAGTGCTCACCAACTCTAAGCCAGCAAGAGTAGCGAACAAGTATTAGGGAATGAGAGCAGGGAGTGAAAAAACAGAATGCCGGCGGGGGGGGGGGGGGGGGGGGGGGGGAGAAATACTTCCATACTGCTCTTTGTCCCCAAACAAGGGAGACCGCTACACACAGGTCCCCTGCCATCTGCCCTGTGTCCAGTTAGTATTGACAATTAGAGTCTACTCATAATTAGCTATATAGGAGATGGTTACATTTGGTAGCTACCCTTGTGAGTTAACTACATGGCTTTTAAGAAATGCTTTCTGGTGAATTCTGCAATTACACATTCTATTCCAGGTTTCCACTGGATGGTCTCAATCCAGTTTTTTCATTATCTATTTCTAGTAAGTGGGCAAGTCATCCAGTTACCATGGACCTCACTATCTTTTCTGTAAAAGAAAGAGGACACAGTGTTATTCATCTCAATAAAGCAAATGTTTTAGGCGATAATTATTTCACAGTTAAACTGCCGATACACAAAGGCATTTTCCGTACTCCGTCATGTGAATGTCTATTTTATCATAGGAAAAAGCTAACATAAACAGTTCTCTATTTCAAGTGAGCAACTCTGAGTAGAACATTCTATTTGTCCTCACACCACTAGCAGTTTGAAGATCCAGGGCCACACAATTTTAGAAGCTGTGCTGTAAAATTAAGGTGGGGTATTTCTCTTCCAGATAAGAGAAAATGGGTACTCCTCCTCATCTCCAGAGACAGAGGTAGTTGACAAATTATAGTTCTGAGAACCAAGCAAGAAGCTACAGATAAAATTTAAGTAGCTATGGTGTTCTCTTATTACCTATTAACTCCCTGAAGTTTCAAAAAACCTGAATTAAGTACAAGGCAACTCAAATCTAAGTGCTTACAGTAGCAACTTAACTGAATGCAGACATCAAATACCATCATTGGGCTTTCTTCAGAAATTAAATATGTCAGATACCAATACTTGATGGACAGAGTTCAGAGATTTTTTAAACACCATGGCAATTAAAACGTGATTTATCATCCCTGGATGGTAACATCTTACTCTTCCCATTTTGGTAGAAGAGGTTTGGGTTTTTCAGTGCTTTCAGATATAATGTCATTAGACTCTGACAATATCCTGTCGACTAGACAGACTGTGCTATAATCAATGAGATTCTGTAGCTTCTAAAGAGAAGCTACATTTCAAGAAGTTATAACACATGATAACGTCAGTGTACACCGAAGCAAGAGCTTCTCAACTGCAGATTCCTCATCCCCTCCATGGGGAGGCAACAAGGGACCTGGCTGCAACCGGAGGCTGAGGACGGGTGATGAATGGGTTCCAGATGCCCCTGATATGCATACAAGTATTATTTTCTAAGAAAGTCAGGGAAATTGTGAAGCACCAATTTTGTAGGCAGTGCTGATCTGAGAATTGAAAAAACTACATTGAAGCCCTCGTCTCACTGAGTGACCTTCGTTAAGTTACTTAACCCTTTGAAGCCCTTAGCTAGATGCCTCCTTATATATTAGATGAGGACTAGTTTAGACTACTTCTAGGGTCTCCCCAACTTCTAAAATTCCATCATCTCCCTTACGTTTACATTTCAGGATGTAAAATAATACTCACGGGTCATTAATTAATTAATAAAAACTCAGTCATTCATTAAATATTTATGAAGCACCTAACCTGGGCCACGCATGTGAGGACCTGGAAACAGCTATGAAAGACGCCATCTCCCAGCACAGGGTCAAATACACTTGATTGTGAGCACATACTACTTTACTGTGAATAAGCTTTGTGTTCTTTTACATGGTCAGAGAGTAAAGTCTCCTGAAAAGTGCCCAAATAACGAAAATCTGCACAGAAAATGAAAACCTTTAATGACAGTCACAGCTTCTACCAATATATAAGGCTTCCCTTCTCCGTACACTTCACTTGTTTTTTAATTACAGCATTTAATTTTACTGGTAATTAGTAACTACAATCAAAATCAATTTCCAAAGTATAAGTTTATAAAAATAGTTTCTTTTAAAGACCCGCAGTAGGACTTCAACATCGTATTTTCAGATACGCCAACAAGATGATGGGTGCGCTGTCTGTTCTACCCGTGACGGAGGTGGCTCCAGAACTGCGGCTGAACCTGAATATGCTGTTTAATCGGGCAGGGATGTGGAAAGCACGGATTCAAAGTTCTAATTAAATATTACACAACTGGAATCCCCCCTACACATCTAAAATAAAATTTTCATGCGGATACAATTTTGCCAATGTTATAAATATATATATCAACTTACAACTTAAAGGAAGCCGTTTTTTTTGACGATGCTTTAAAAATCTAGATCCATAATTGCTTTCTTTAAAAAAAATCCTTTCCATATAAAAGAAAAATCTTTCCTGTATAAAATAAAAAGTCTACATTTCTCTGGAAATGCATTCATTCACCTAATAGTAAGATCCAAAATAAGAATTGTTGTCTCCAGAAGGGGGGGGTGGAGGCGGGGGTGGGGGAGGAGGAGGTGGGGGTATGGAGTAGGGCATGGGGGGCACCATGTTCGGTGCGGCCCAACCCATGTTTACAAACGCGGGTGGTGGGGGTGGGGGTGGGGGTGGGGGTGGAGGTGGAGGAGGGAGTGCAAAATTATGCATGTCGAACATCGGAGGAGGGAAGGCATAGTGTGGCATGAGATTCTCTTGTCTCTGAGGTGGAAATCCTGAGGTCTCCTGAGACACCATGCGCTCCGAGTGATAAAACTGCGCAGGTGGGGGCCTGCCGTGCCAAGGCGGAGGGTGTCTGCCCCGGGGAAATCCTCGTGTGAATCCTCTGTTGCGGTATCCTGTCGAATGCTCCGCAGCGCTCCAATTCTGATGCACTTCTGCCAAATCTTCACCTATGAGCAGGGTTAAAAAAGCAGCATAAAAACAAAATGAAAATTAATTGCAATACATTAAAAATATTGTTTACAATTTCAAGAATGCCCTTTCTTTCATTTCCAGGTATATCTTATGGTAGTTAAAAATGCGTAAGGCTTAAAATGATCCATTTTAAAGAATCTAACAGCCAGACAAGCAGGAAACAGAAAGCCTAGTAAGACAGAAACCTTTTTTTAGACAACAGCCACTCGACTCCAGCCAGCCAGCACAGAGAAAACCGGATACCACCGTCACCCACACTCTCAAGGGCTGAGTGGGGAACAAGACTTCCTCCCTTGATGGGATTTAATGAAGTGCCTCGACCTCCCCCCAAAGTGGTGTCAGAGCAGGCGGAATAGGAAGCCGGTCAGCAGGCTCAAAGGACTCCTGCAAGGACACTGGCGATCACACCGGGGACCTGGACTTCCACCTCCACTGGCAGGCACACAGTGTTCCTCCACCTGCCACACTGGGTGGTGTCGGAGAACTAGTGGAGAGTCAGGACACTGGTCACCACCCACTGGGAGCGAGGCCGTCCCCCACTGTTGTCAGAGGGACAGGAAGAAGGCAGTCTCCCCCTCCTTGCCCGGAAGTAAGGTGCCAACACAGGCCGAGAAGAAAACCTGGATTTTTATCCCCTCCTTTCCCTGCCAGAGCAGTTTTAAAAACAAGACTGCCGAAACAGAAGACTTACAGAAGATCTAGAGTTTCAGAACATAATACCCGATATGCACAGATTTCATCAAAAATCACTCATCACACCCAGAATGAAGACCTCAAACTCAATGAAAACGCAAAATTGAGGCCAATACCAAGATGACAAAATGTTAGAATTATCTGACAAATATTTTAAACATTCATCATAATAACACATCAACAAGAAATTAGAACACAGTAAAACGAATAAAAAGCCGAAGCACAAAAATAAAATGATACAAAGAAGAAACAGAAATGTTAGAATTGAAAATTCAATTAGTATAGTTAAGATGTCAATTCTCTCTGAACTAATATATAATATACATACATCCAGGTGTAATGTAATTCCTCACAAAATCCCAGCAAGACTTTTTGTCAATACAGAGGTTCTAAAACTTATGTGGAAAGGCAAAGGAAGTAGAACCCTTAAAATAATTTTGCAAACTTTTAGAAAAAATAGGAGAAAGTCTTTAGAATGTAGATCTAGGCAAGAATTTCTCAAACTTTGTAAAATAAAAACTAATAAATTGGGGTTCATCAAAATTAAAAACTTTTATTCTGCAAATGACCATTTTAAGAGAATGAAAACACGGGCTAAAGTCTGGAAGAAATTATGTATAAACTCATAATCCGGAAGTTAAAAAACAGAAATACAATTAGTAAGAGACAAAAGACATGGACAAAGATATCCCTGAGGAGGACACACAGACAGCAAAGGAGCACATGGAGAGATGTTCAGTCTCGTTAGGAAAATGCAAGTTAAAATCACCAACATCACTACACACCCACAAGAACAGCGTGTAAAACAGTGACACCACATGCTGGTGAGAAAGCAGAGAAACACACTCATTCATACACTGGGGATGTGGCCACACTGAAAAACAGTGAGAAACCGAACATACAAGCTTCATACAATCCAACAACTGCACTCTCAGACATTTATCCCAGAGAAATAAAAATCTGTGTGCACACAAAGACAACCTGTACACAAACATATACAGCAACTTCACTCCTATAACCAAAAACTGTTAATAACCCAGATGTCCTTCAATGCATGAATGGTTGAATAACCTGTGGCATGTACACATAATGGAATACCACTTTGGAATGAAAAGAAACACATATGACACATACAACAATCTAGATCAATCTCCAGAATATTAGGCTCGGAGACAAAATCCAGTTCTGAGTGGTAACATACTGAATGACTCCATTTATATAAGCATTCTTGACATGACAAATTATGTTACAGAAATGGAGAATAGACTACAGGTTGCCAGGAGTTGAGCAGGAGGTGGGAGGGAGAAAGTGTGAGTGACTATGAAAAGGCAACATGAGGGAACTCTTCCTGTGATGGAAATGGCCTGTATCTTGCCTGTATCCATGTCAATATCCTGGCTATGACACTCTACTGTAGAGTTTCCCAAGATGTTACTATTACGGGAAACCAGGGAATGGGTATATAAGATTGCTCTGTATTATTTCTTACAACTGCATGTTGATCTACAAAAAGTTAAGATTTATAAAAGGAAAAAGAACAAAAGGAAAGGTATAATAAAATGAAATACATTTTAAATAACAAAGTACCTTGAGTTTGTCATTAAATACTGTATTATTTAATTCTAAATATGGAAGCCACTAAGTTTCTTAACAGAAAGTGCTAATGAGCACAAATAACTAACAAGCCTTAGTTTCCCTTTTACCCCTGGAAGCCATTTTTACATCCTTAAGCTTGAGAAACTGCCTTGTGACTCCGTCCCACCACACCCATGCTGCAAAACACCCCCAACGTGAGCTGGACGGCAGGGGGTAGAAAGAAAACCCAGACGTTTTCTTCGGTGCTATTACTGATGAACTTGCATAAATGTGAGTCAACATAAAAAAAAAATCACTGAATGTTACATTAACTCACCTGACTCATTAAATTCAGATCTTAGTTTTTTCCTGCTTTGCATGCGATTTTTTCTTCTCTGTTTGGCTTCTTTTTCTTTTTCATCATCACTGAAATCTAAGGCCTGACAGAGAAAAATACATAGGTTTATGTCACATGAATTAACCAATTCAATGGTACATACTTGGAAATGTATGTACCTATACTGGAAGAAAACCTATTATTTAAACACTGATATTGAAAGATACTTTTTCTGATACTTAGTAGTTTCCAGCAATACTTGAATTAATTACATATGATAGAAAAAATGAAGTATTTTTTTAAACAAAGTCCTAAAGATTCTTAATTGACACAGCCAGTAATAAAATGAGTTTCTCAGGGCTTTCTGGTTTTTTAATTCCTAGAAACTTTCAGATAGGCAGCTATAAAATGCCGATCTTTAACCACCTTGAGATATGGCTTTTCCCTAAGCTGGAAGTTAAACTTAGGGAAGTTAAACTTCCAGCTTAGAGTCAAGATTTATCAGCTGCCAAAATTCTAAAGAAAGAAATATGCAAGTACTATAAAGTACCAAATCTAACAGAAAAATAGAATGTTATACTTCTCATTCAAAACTTTACACATACCCATTATAAACCAGGCACTGTTCTAAACACTATACAGGTAATAATTTTTTTATTAATATAATGTCAAGTATAGTAAGGGCTGAAATAAACAAGGCAAGGTAAGGGTGGAGAAAATCACTACGGACACTATTTATGTAAGATTGCAGGCGAAGGCTTTGATAAGCACATACATGCATTACCTGGCTTCCAAGAGGAAATCATTTTAACTTATGAGGGCAAGTCAAATGTAACTAAGAACTGAGATTCACTGTTACAGTCCACCAAAAACACAAGATTTCTATAGAGGCTTTATATATTATGACTTTCTATGATTTCTTAGAATTGAAGCATTATATTATTATATTATCATAAAACAGATTAATATGTTTCATAAAAAAATATAAAAGCAGACTTTAAATGTGTATGCCTGTGTACACATTTAAAAAAAAGAGACATGCCCTGGCTGGTGTAGCTCAGTGGATTGAGTGCGGGCCTGTGAACCAGACAATCACGGTTCGATTCCCAGTCAGGGCACAGGCCTGGGTTGTAGGCTGGTTCCCTGCAGGCCAGTTCCCAGCAGGGGACACACGAAAGGCAACCATACATTGATGTTTCTCTCCCTCTCTCCTTCCCTTCCCCTCTAAATATAAATAAATAAAATCTTAAAAAAATAAAATAAAATAAAAAATAAAAAGAAGAGACAAAATATACAGGAAAGTCTTTATATGGGATTTTCAGTTGTCTCACTAAAATATATTTTAGATCGAGTCCTCCATGAAGCAAGAATTCACATACCTGAGAATCCATAATCAAATTCAGAAACATCAACTAATTTTAGTACCTTCATATATCTTTATTAGCATCATGATTTTTTATTACTGATCTTAAATTGTTAAGATTTTTAAGCTCCTGTGAATATCTGGTGTCTACCAGGAAGTAGAAAATATTGAGGTCAGGTGAAAACATTTCTTTCTCTGGAACAGTTCAGTCAAATAAAAAACTAGATACATAAAGCAATGAACAAGTGCTATGACTTAATGCCATGACAGGGTGGGGCTGAGGGAAAAAGAAAGGGCAAGGAAAATTTCGTGGTATGGGTAACCCAAGAAAAATCTCTAATGATGTCAACAGTGAAAATAAGGGTGAGGACATCTGCAAGGAGTCAGAGTATGTGCAGAGATTCAGTATATTCGAGAAATGAAAATGGTTCTGTAAGACAAAGCAAAAGCTTCTTAAAGAGAAAAATCAGAGGCAATGAAATTAAGAGAATAAAGAACCTTCTTGGGCCACTTAAAATAACTGGGTATTGTTCTAAGAGCAGGAGGGAAGTAAATGGGGGGCAAAGGGAGAAGGGATGCCAAGGAACATGTATGAAGGACACACAGAGAAAGCCACAGGGGGTTGGGATCGAGGGTGGGAGGAAAATAGAGACAACTGTACTTGAACAACAATAAAAATATTAAAAGAACAAGATTTTAATTGGCAATAGGCTATTTTAGAGACAATTTTGGCAATATTTTGCTATCACCTCCTAAAATCAGAGAAAATTTCCTATACTTGTATACCAATTATGCATTCATTAAACACGTTTCCTCAACCACAAATTAAGTATTCATATGTTAGAAGTGAATGTGAAGGTGAATGAGATGCACTAAATTCTAGCTCCTTTTATGCAAGTCCAACACTTTCTACCTTCACAGCATCATTGTTTTAAAACGTTTAAACCCACACATTCCAAATTCTAACCTACATTTAACACCAGGCCATAATTCTAAACTACAAAATGTCATCATGATAAAATAAACTTTTGAATTTCAGAGTTTTCCATATGATGAAAATAACAGTCAACTACTCAGAAAAAAAAAAGCACCATGAAGTATGCTCAGATTTAATTTTATAATTAGCCTAATCCAACCAATTTTATAAACAGTTAACATTACCATAAATTGGCAAGTTCAATGCTTAGGTAGGAAATAACAGGTATAACAATGTATGCATTCCACAAGAAGTATCTTTAAGACAGGTTTGAGGGTGGGAGGCAGGGAGGGGTGGGGCAGGGGTGTGGTAGGGTAAAAATGGAGAGAACTATACTTGAAAAACAATAAGAAAAAGAAAAAATCATTTAACTAATGAAATTTTAAAGAGACTTTTGTGAAAATAAAGTCCCTCAGTAATATGGACACTAAACTAAGATCACTCTCTTGTTAGTGACTCACACTGGTTAAGTGACTCTCTGAGTGAGCATTAGCTGATTCATGTCTCGGCAAAATCAGAAATTAATACAGGGTAAGAACCTTCAATATTGCTTGAGATCATCTAAAACAAACAGTAAAATCTACACATACCTAGAATTTATAATACTGAGAAACTTCAAAACTACCAGGCACATAATAAAAACTCTCACTTATAATAATTATATTATTCTATATAAATCCATACTATTTTCAAAAATATATACACTGATTGCTATAATTTCTTCTTTTTAATAACTTAAAGAAAATATCCTAAAACATCTCCATGGAAAGTTAAATCATATAAATCTACAGATTATAACTGATTCTAGTCCACTTCTACAGACAGATTGTTTATCAAGCTACTATGGAACATAAAAAAGTCTTGCTGACATAGACTCAAATAAGAAAACAAAGAACTCTCTTTTTAAGAAGGTAATTATACAGTAAAAAAATGGAAAGGTAGGTAGATTCTAGTGATTTTGTACCTCCAAAAGAAAGGAAGCGTATTAAAAGCACCATTAAGGAATATCTTCATATCTCACATATTAAAATCACTAAGTTGAAGAATAACAGCTTTTAAAATAATGACAATTCTGCCTTTACCAGGTATCAAACAACTAATTTAAAAATAGGAAATTACAAGGATAATGATAACCAAATACTTATTCAAATGTGACTAAAAATTACTTCTTTAAATGATCAATCAAAAATTCTTACTGAAAGGTATACTGTGGGGGCTACTACTTTCGAGAGGTCCCCCCGGTGCCACGGACGTGCGTGAATGAGTAAATATGGCCGAGACATGCTGGATCTGTTTGGGGATGGAGGAGTGGGCTGTGGCCAGTTTCTCTGGGGAGAAAAAGGCCTCGAGCGCCTTCTTCCATAGCCTTTTATTGGGCTGTAATACACAGGAATACAGGGCGGCAAGGATCAAACAGTAGATAACATTTCAAAGAAATCTGAGGGTTTCAGTCTGAGTCAGTGTCTGTCAGGAAGAGAGTTGCAGAAACTTAGGGAGACATACTCATTTCCTCTAGGACCCTTATCATATGAATGAAAGCACTCGTAGAGCAGATTTCAGAGGTTTATCATCAAGTCTTTGTGATGCCAGATTTTTCCCCAGGGCACGCTCTGGCAAGGCAAGGAGCTGCACCTCTCCCCATCAGGTATTCAGGCTTAAGGGGATTAGAGCCAGGAAGCACTTCTCCCAGAGAACATGGGGACTCAGCCTTTGACAAAGCTGGGGGGCGAGAGTCCATTGCTCTCTGTTGCAGCAACCCCCCCACCAGTCCTTTCATGAAGGCCTCCCAGGTGATGGAGTCTGGCTTAGGTTGCTTCCTGATGTGAGGGGTCTTACCTGTCACTGACTTCTGACCAAGCTCTGGGGGCAGGGAGAGGAACTGAGGCAGGGTTTGCTACCAGAGACAGGCTTTGTCCCCTGTGGCTGGCATTCCAAAGGTCGTCTCTAGCCCTTAGCTACAAGGGGTAGAGATACAATTCCTAAAATCAGGCAGAGCGGTCTACTACAGTATACGACAGTCCTATGGAAAGGAGAGTGTGCACGGGCTCAGAGAATGCGTGCGAGGGGCATTACGGACGTCCTAAAGGTCATGAACGGGTTTATGAGACTAAGTCCTGCCTTATCTCTAAAATACTGTGTAAAAGACCTAACCTTACCTCTGGTGGTGGCTCCTGATCATTCTCCCATGAGGCATCTGACCCCTTTTCCCTAGGAAGAGAAAACAAAAATCCAAAGCAGTACTTGTTAAAGTTGTTAATCACTTACAATAAAGTAGAAGACATAAGCTCAACTCTTAATCTTGCAATATACATGAAAATAAGAGCAAAAAGTAAAGAACCACTTCTCTGTCTGCACCTTGTTTCAGAAAATGTGGGAAGCTCCTATGAAAAACAAAACCTCTAGGTGTTTTAGGGCTGGAGGGTCACGACGCAGGGCCAAGGCTGTGGTGTGCGCGGGGGAAGGTGGGTCTGAGCCCACACACACCCAGATGCCGACTCGGATACTCTCAGGACACCTGAGCGCCTCTCATAAAACTCATTTCAGGAAACGTTTATTCTACACAAACTATAGGTCAGACACTGACTGCTCCATGTGCTAAGCACACAGAACATAAATATGAGGCACTTCTTGGTCTATGATTTCATAGTCTAACATTTCATAGGTTTAACGGTAGAGATAACTATGAAATTATTTTTCCTCAGTTTACCTGGAACACTTACAATACTGCAAGAGCAACCAAGGCCCAACACTGATTCTCAAAGCAGAGGGTAAAAGGTTATCTAGTTTAGGGATGAGGGAGAGTTTTGAAGATTCTGAAGGGCAGTACAGTCACAGGCATGAATTACTTTTCATGCAATTTTATAATATATCAATGCAGAAAACGTTTCCAGTTTATCTAAGTTAAAGTACTTCATTTGGCAAAAGTCAAATATATGACAAAAGTACATATATCTATTATAATTATAACTTATGAAAGCTCATTTTAAGTCTTATTAACCTTTATGATTTCATTGTTTGATTATGCCTTGTTATTCAGTTATATTAAAATATTATGAAGTATTAGTACTCACTGCTTTAAACTAGATCTCAGAAATATGGGATTCTCAAGAGTTCATTAAAATCATTAATTCATTAGTCTATAATCCATAAAAATCAACTCACAGATGTCAGAGGCTGGCACAATACAGAAATCATTAAGTCTGCTCTGAAATTTTGATTTAGAATTTGGACTGTGTATGAGGCATTAGCCATGATTTTTCCACCACTTAAAAGCCGTTACTCAGTAATCATCTTACACCCACACATTTAACTCCAGTACTCCCGTTTCCCCAAATGCCACCTCATGGCCTGTGGTGCCCTTGGCCTGGAGTTTAAAGACGTAACTGCGAAAAGTGCCCCAAATGGTGCATTTAGTACTGAAAATCAAAATCTGCTAAAGAAAAGATCAAGCAACATTTTACACATCCCTTTTCACAGAGAGTAAGTTCATTGGGGAGCTAAGATTAAAACAGCCTTACTAGAGGCGGGTAAGCTGGAGAAGAACTGAACTTTTATAACTCAAAGGCAAAGCACTCCACTGAGTTCCCAAGACAGACACCAAAACATGGACTTGAACAGAACAGGCTTTGACCGGGGGGGGGGGGGGCGGCCTCTGCAGAGCAGGCCTACTCCCCAATTCTTTAGTTTACTGTCATTTCTCTCCAGGACAAAGTTCTTGCTCTTGCAAATCAGAAACCAAGGCTGCTCCTAATATTTCAAATCTATTTAAAAAACAGTACAGAAAACCTTTCCAGTTTATCTGTTTCAAGTTAAAGTATTGTATCTGGCAAAAGCCAAACATCTGACATATCCACAGCAACAGCCTAATATTCAAAGCAGAATGAGATGCTTAAGGCATGATTTTAAAACATACTAAAATCTTTATAACTTTACTGCCTATTTAACTCACTTTTTGCCAGCAGTCATTTAGAAAAATTAACCTTGCACAGTGTGAAGAATAACTTGGGTAAAATGTTCCTTCAGTTAATTATGTGCATTGTTAAGTATGAGTTGAATAAATTATTTGGAACAAAATTTTCATATCTGAAATATTAAATGAAATTCAGAGACTTGATTTAATACGTAGTGGCATAGAGACATTCTTACGACTGGTACTTTTAACATAGCACTAATGCTACTCGCTGCCTGAAGTTCCCTTTGTATAACACTTCCTACAAAAACTACATCTCTTTTTTTTTTTTTTTTTACCTATGAACTAGACCCAGAAGAGACTTATATGTCAAACTGAATGCAAAATGTTTTTGGATTTAAGATCCCCCTCCCCTCTCCCAATATTTGTGACTTCTCTTCCACTCCTAATTTGACAATATGTTTAGTGGCTCATATCCATTATACCTTCTGAAACATTCAACTAAATTTTATAGAAAAGGCTATTCTATTGGAACTATACAAGGGACTCAAAAAACAAAACAAAACAAAACCCAGATTTCATTTGTAAAAAACTGTGCATTTATTCTTACATGTTTACACTTCAGTCACCTTCAAAGTACTCTCAATTTGATGCAATACACCTATTAAGACTTTTTTCCCCACAGCTTAAAACAGTTTTTGAACTTGTTAATTTTGATGTCTTTTAGTGCTTCTGCCATTTTTTGTTTCACCTCTTCCATATGAGCAAAACACTTTCCTTTAAGGATTTTTTTCATCCAGGGAAACAAACAAAGTTGCTAGGGTGAATAGGAAAGGTGGGACACATTTGTGGTAAAAAAAAATCTGAACGCTGAGCAGGGTGTGGGCCACTGTGCTTGTAAATCCCCCACCATAAAATGAGCAAATGTACTGAGTCTTTACATAAAAGCACTGAAGCTGAATGTAGCCTCTCACACCACCACCAGCTGGTATACTGACCTGCAGATGGGTCCCTAGAACACTCACCTAGCAGGGGAAGCCTGTACTACAAGGTCCCACCCTCCAGAAGATAATTCTGGATTTTTAGAGGGCCTCCTTCATATGCCATTGTTTTATGTAAAAATTAAATTACAAAATTGTAAGTTTTATTGCCATAAACAGCCTTACAGCTAATATTTGGCAACACAATTAATACAAGAAAAATATACGATTAACCAGTGGGAGTATAAATATGGAGAAATATTACTACCCACATGCCACAGGCATCTTTTAGCATTATTTACAGATGAAATGAAGAGCAATGATTTATTAGTTAAGTCAACCCTGTTTCTCGCCACTTAGTACTCACTTTAGAGGGACACATTTTAATTGTCTCTTCTATAACTTTACCATTTACAAGCAACCAGGAACTCTCCTTATTTTCTTTAGTCAAGCTTATGAATTTAATCCAATGAAAATTTTATTTAAAATGGGAAAGAATTTTTAAATGGTAGTACTGATATGAAGTACCAAGTATATAAAAGAGTGTACATAATGAAAAATGGGATGGATCAGAATTCAGAAAGTTTGTATGGCCCAAATATATAAATGCTCTCTGGCTGTAAAATCTGATAATAAATTGTAGCTTCCAGAAGTGTTATCAGAAACACAGATGAAGTCTTTGGAAGACAACTACCATTTAAAACTACCACTGCTGAGAATCATTCCTAAAATACAAAGACTAAATAAGCAAACAACTAACACACATGTACTGGATGGTAAGGGGAAAAGAAGTACTTACTGTTTTTCTGGGAATACATATTGAGTAAAGTTATTCATTGATGGAGCAAAATACATAGTATCCTTTATTTTAATGCCTTTACTCTCAATGTGCTCTGAAGAGTTAAACCGTAGTACATAAAATGGGTGTGCAACAGGTCCAAATAGCTCAAATATCTGTAAAATAGAAGAAACATAAAGGCCTCCTTTAACATATAAATAATGACTCAAAAGGTTAGTGATATTTAAAATAGAAAACACTAATTGTTATAAAAGGTACCTTTTTCAATGTCTGAGGAATAAAACTATATTTAAGTCATTTTTGTATATTCATAAAAATTTCATATTTGGATTATAAATGCATCGGCTTTTCCCAGATTTCCTTTTTATGAACTGAAAACAAGTGTAACAAACTTGCTCTTGCTAAATTTAAATCATTTTGGTGATACCGACTACATGCAAATTATGAATTTTTGGTTTTACTGCTCATTTAAGTTGTAAGACATGAAGAAAAAAATGACAATTGATAATTCTTGAAAAATAAAATGCTGCCTGTCATTGGCAATTTTATGACACAAAACTTAAAAGCTTCAATAGGTATTCAGTCACTTCTGCTGTTTCTACATAGAGGTTAACATTTTGTGAAATTAAACCACAACCTTTTCTCATTCAAAAAATAGTAAACTTGAACTTCAAGTTGACAATGGCACTACACAGCCTTCAGCATTTACGTAAAGAACCTGCTTTTGGCACAGATGCACTTGACCCCCTCTGCAAGTGCTCTGTGAGCGACGAAAGGCAGCCTCTGGGTCTCCAACTCTTCTCAAAATAGGTACCTGACCTTTTTGAAAATGATGTTCCTGATAATAAATGTAAGTATATTATAGAAAAAAGACAATGACCAGTGTCACTGTAGATTTTTCCAGTCTTCTTCTATTAATGAATTTTGAGATTTTACAGTTTTTGTACACTGCTCACTTTTAAAACCTAAAGTGCATTCAGTTTTTCCATGTTATAAATATTCTCCCTAAGTGCCATTTCAGTGGCAATCTAGCATTCCTTTACAGACTTAGCACAATCTGTTGAACTTGCCTTATACTGCAGGACATTTAGACAGCATCCGATCTGTTCAACATAATAAATGGCGCCATGATATATTTACATGTAAATTTTTATATTTCAGATTTCCTAAAAATTGATTTGTCACGGATGGAATTACTGAAGCTAAGAGTATGATGTTAAAATTCAGGATGTAAATTACTAAATCACTTTCCAAATAGCTTGCACCATGTTAAACCAACTGTATAGAAAGAGTCTGTTTTATTACATTCTAGGTTTTTTAGAAACCTAGAAACAGTGAATGTTTCACTTGATGCTGTTTACTATACAATCCAAGCTGTTATTAACTTTCAGTAAAGCCATAAAACAGCTCATACAGCAGGGTACCTACACTCTGAAAATACGATTAATCTAAAAACAATTATCAATAGTCAAAAGAATTTAAATGCCGTGCATTCTAAAACAAAACTAATAGCATGGAAAATTTAAGCCTTTCTATTTGAAAAGCAAACAGATAATTTCAGAAATAGTGAGAAATCTGCTTTAAAAGGTTTTCAATAAAAAAAGGTAGACCTCTCACTTCCAACTAGTGCAAAGGACAGAAGAAATGTAACACAATTACTGGCCTACTTACATAGATTCAGAAATCTTATTTGTCACTTTTTTAACAATCTTAAATTTTTTTATTTCTTTTTAATTTCCTTGATGAATATAGACAAATCTGATTCTTTAAGTTTGGACAGAGAAGACTTTTTAAAAAATTCCCTATGAGCCCATTAGTACAAGGCACAGCAATCGCTGTCTGCAATCTGGCACATAAACCTGTTTCCCAAGGACTCGTCTCCTGGATGGCGCGATTCCACCTCCTAACTGTGAGAAATGATTGCACCACAGAGATGCCTTAATAGCTTCAGGCTTATGCAGAGATGGCTAAGTGACATTCAGAATCTTGGATAAAATCAAAGCACACCTACCTGCCTACTTTTAAGATCTGAAGTGTTTATAAGGCACAGCCACAATGTAGCTTTACATGAATAAATACAGCAAATGGTAGGCAACAGGAAGCTACATAATAGAATCAGTCGATGGCATATACCAATACTCCATGTTGGATCAGCAAACATTTGATCCTGTACTAAATGTCCAAGGAGGCATTTGTCCCACGCCAAAAGGTCCTTGACACTTGGTCCTTAACATCTGGTCCTAGCCAACACATCCATGGAGACATCTGATCCATAGCTAACATAAATCCCGCTCTCACAATAATTTAAACCCACCTACCTAACCCCATGTGCCACTACTAGCTAGGCTACTGAGGCAAGAAAAATTATCGTTGGCAGTACAGCCAAAAGACAATTATTGGACCAATGCTTCATGGCAGTATTTTTGGGTATTAACTGTGTAAACTCAAAGCAGAAATAAATGTAGTGAGTTATTTGAACCCAGGGACATTTTCTAAGTGTGGACCTTTAGAACCAGAACAAATATCAAGGACCTTCGAGCATGGACCAAATGTTGTGCAAGGGGTATGTACAATCCTACCCGAAATAGTCACAGGAAAGCCTGACTGGGTTCACATAAGCAATGTGGCAAATATAGAGTTAGAGAAAAGAAGGATTTAACAATATGTTAAAACACAACTTCCCAGTAGAGATTTTAGGCTGCCTAATAGGTAAACCATGAAGACCAACTTTAGACAAAGCAGGGCTCAGGCCAACCCGCTGTATCTCAAAATTCCATTAAACCTTGAGTCCCTGCTCAGTCTTCCCCTGTAACTTTGGGATTTTTGTAACTTCCACAATACCTGACCAGAAATAAAAGAAAGGAATTAGCTGCAAGGACAGTATAAGAAACAGAACTTAGGACGTAAGATATTTACTTTAAGGTAGGCAAGCAGCCTGCTTTATACCTTAAATAATAGTATATATTTCATAGAAATACTCCCACAAAAACTGAATCCAACTAAAGTTTTGAACTTGCCTGTCACTTGAGTGGTGCTGTTCTAAGTGTCCTTCCACTTGGCTCTAGCTTTTACTACTTAGTGTCTCTTATTCAAATGCAGTACCTTTCTGCTGAAAGACTTCACCGGATTCCTGCCCCACGAAGGGCTCACAAATACACACACTACCACCACACAGTACAAATACACCATATGGTCAGTTGAGAAAAAAGACACTGACGAGCAGAGAAGTAGAAGTATGTTCAGTCCCCCAAACTCTCATTCTACAACACAGGCCGGACTTAGATGGTCTGTCTGCAACATGAAAAAAGTTCCTGCAGTTGGGGGCCTGCCTGGGAAGCACCAAGAAGGCAAGTCTCAGCCTCTCCTCTCCACAAAGAGCGAGGGATCACGTAACTCTCAGTTCTCTGGGTAACAGGAAAAACACCAAGGAATCTCCAGGCCCAGGAACAATGCTGGAGACACACATGCTGCTGCTCTGAAAGCAACTTTCAGAGAATGCCATTAGTCAGAGGCCTCGCATCTCTCCAGCTGATCCAGCTTGCACTGAACTACCCAAAGGGGAGAGAGAGAAATGAACCCCCACAGCCACCCAGAATTATCTCTTACCAACCACTGCATACTATCTGACTTCCCATTAATAAAAATGAAGACAGTAAAAAAAATAACAATAAAAGCAAAAATGGCCCCAGCCGGGTAGCTCAGTTGGTCAGAGAGCTATCCCAATACACCAACATTGTGGGTTTGTCCCCAGTCAGGGCACATACAAGCCGCAGCCAATGAATACATAAATAAGTGCAACAACAGAAATCAATGTTTCTTTCTCTTCTTCTTTCATCTCCCTCTCTCCCTTCCTCCCTCCCTCTACAATAAATAAAAATAAAGTAAAGCCCAGGCTGCTGTGCCTAGGTAGACTGAGTGTCATCCTACAAACCAAAGGATTGCTGGTTCAATTCCCAGTCAGGGCACATGCCTGCATTGCGGGCCAGGTCCCCATTTGGGGCATGAAAGAGGCAACCACACATCAATGTTTCTCTCCCTTTCTTTCTCCCTCCCTTTCCCTCTCTAAAAACAAATACATAAAATCTTTAATAAAATAAAAAATAAAAGTAGGGAATATTCTAATTCATTGAGTAAGTCAAATAATCATTTCAACCACCATGTATATTACACAAGTAGTTACCCAAGTTACTGAGGGAGAAAAAAACACTTATAATATGAAGACTTTCAGAAAATCATCACATACTAGCAATCAAGCCTGTAAGAGAAATATTCTTTCAAAAAAGATCAGTAAAAATTCTTATCCAATGATATTGGACAGGAAAAAAGGGTTTCATGGTTTGGATTTATTAAAAAGTAAAAGAAACACTCGTGACAAAAACAAAACCTGCACTAAGAAATACTGAAAACTAAACGCAAAGCAACCAACAAATTCATGTTATGTAGGGATAATGGGTGGCGCAAGCTGGCCATTTCTTCTGATATTCTGTAACTAACCATTAAAAGTAGAATTTCATTATTTATCAAGAGGAATAAATCATTATTAAAAGGCAAAAGACAGAAATAAAAATCCAAAGTTGTTCTCATTAAGCCAGTGGGAAAGGAGAAAAAGGTAGAAATGAAATGAATCAGGCAGGCCAACTGGGTTGTAAAATCAATTTTGTTCCTTTTTAAATTTGTGATTTTTGAGTAAATGAAGATAATTCCACTTCCTTACCCAATTTCAGTAAATTTTTAAAAATACCCAAAATATTTATCGCTGTGGCTCATTAGTACTGTTATTTATGGAAGAGCGGAGGGAAGAGAAAGGACAGTAAAGGCCTGACATTGAAGGTAAATGACACTAATATAGTGTCTAGTTAGGACATTCTAAAGATCTAAACCAGATTCAAATTTCACTTTCGGTCACTGGATTAACTAACACGCTCAACTCTATTCCAACTCCCACCATTATTTTGGGGAATCGTTTCAGATGCTCAGATTTATAATTAAATATTTTTGAAAGACGTGTTAACTCTTGAATTTACAAAGCTTTCTATGTAAAATTTAGAAATGGATTTAATTTTTCCCTTTGGACGTATGCCCCATAGCTAAAGTCAGAGGTCTAAAGGCTACATTTTTATCTGACCCCCAACAAAGTCAATGACAAAAGAGGTGAATATCAACATTATTAGTCACAATTATAGGAGTGAGAATGCAAATGTGCTGAAGGATATAAGAAATGTGAATTAAAATTAAAATTATCTAAGTTAGCTATTAGAGAAAAAGGCAACTGTCATAAAAATCATAAATGAAAGGAAACATGGAAATAACCTGTTTCAATTCAGTCAGAAAAATCATGAAGTAAGTGTTCCCTCGCCTCTTCTCCCACCTCCTCTTCTACTTTCTTGAGGATGGCAGGCAATGTTCTGTTTCTGCACTGGGGGGGGGACACTGGTCCCTCCTAAAGAAGTGCTACCCGGGGTGACATGCAGAGCTACTCACACACAGTCAGCTACCATTTCCCACTCCTTCTCCCACTCAGCCTCCTCTGAGTTGAGCTGCTAATGTGTCCTTAACTCCTTACAAGACACCAGCAGTGCCCATACTTGAAGCAAAAGTAATGAAGACTAAGTATTTGAAAGGGAAAAAAAGTACAGCATCATCCTTCAGACATCTGAAAGCATTTTACCCCTTCACAAACCTCAAGAATTTCCAAAATGTATTATATTAGCTCAAGACTTCAATTAATTCTGCCACTGACTGCTTTGCAATCCTAAGTGACTTATTTCTCTTTGGTAAATTTGTCTGTTAGAATGGAATGAAAGGAAGAGGCAGAGGAAAGGGAAGGTTATGTGAATGACCCTATTGGGGTTATATAGTTCAAAATATATATATTAAATATATATATTTGAAAATATGCTTTTCCTGATTAAATGTAAATTAGTTATACCTCCCAGAACAACAACAACAAAAAACCCCCTAAATGTTGCTTACTTAGGAAAAACTAAACCCCAGAGACTTGCTTCTCCAAAGAACAGCAGCTGGTTACTTGTTTGTTTTCCACTCAACACACATTTACTTAGCATGTGCAATTTATGAAGGACCGCATCTCATACAGTGGGGGAATACTGAGGTGGACAACACTTTGCCCCAGGAAAGAAACACGTGCTGGGTATTTTCAGTCTTGATCTGAGAAGGCTGCATGTCCTCAGACGACTGCTCAGAATCACATCACTGCTGGGTAAAATGTGTGGTCTTCCATATCAAACACGGACAGGCAGACTTGTTCCATTATCAAGATGTTGAAAGAAACCCAACGTTATGGTGGATACTTAATTACAAAGATTCATAACTCCCCCAAATGTGCTTACAGTGAAATTTTATTGCTATGGCTGAAGTCTTTTTCCACTTAAGGAAACCAAAGTTTAAAAAGTTTTGAGAGCCACTTCTCAATGGGACTCACAAACTCCAAGTTTCAGAACTACTATGTGGTGGGAAAAGCCTCCTGTACTCTGAACCTGGAGAGCAGAAAACTGCGTCTTCCTTAGTAAGTACAGCCGCTGCCTAGCAAAGTACCTGATGAAGCATTAAGAAAAATTCTACCCGTGTATTTAATGACTCAAGCAGCAGAGTAATAAGCAGTATTAAACTAATACACAAAGTACAGAAGATCAAGAATGTACCAAAATAACATATAATCCGAGAGCTCTAGACTGTTCATCTATTAAAATTAACAAACTTTTTAGGACAAAGTAAAAAACACCAATTAACAATAACAACGGAACAATAATTCGTAGAATTTGAATTTTTTTACAAACCTTTCCTGCTGCCTGACGATCACTTTTAAAAACTACAGTGTCCTCATTAACTGGAGGTAGTTTCGTCACAGATTCAATTATTACTGAAAAACAAGACAAAGCAGATTATTTCAAGCAGATTAATCAGAATATAAAATTTAAATGAGAATTTAGGTTTTAGTCCCAACATAATTTAATATGAAATTTAAGGTGCAATAATATGCCTCAGTAATTATTCCTCTTAGATGAACAAAGTCTATTTAACCGTACAGCACAGAGAAATAGTTTCTACATATTTTTATTTAATACAAAAAGGTACAATTCTAAGAAAAAAAAGTATAAAATCTCAGGAAATTTGACTCACCCATTAAAAAGTCAACAAATTCAAGCTGTGCACATTTTCTCAAGCAATTTTTACACAAAAAAGTGTTATTTAGTCACAAAACTCATGTTTTAGAAGAAATCAGTCTTCTTTCTCACAGTAAAAATTCTTTTCTATGACTACTTATTGCTATATGAAAAAGTTAACTTCACAAAAGCATCTTCCTCTGAACAGATAAAAAATAATAGAGCTCACAATAATTTTCATTAATTCTTTTCTCAAAAAGCAAAAGCTTTATTCCACTTGTCTAGCATATTCCAATTCCTGTAAGTGCCACGTGTGTTAAACAACCAATCTTCTATAGCAGAGGGGTGGGGGTCGGGGGGGGGAACGACAGGGTCTTAGAAAACCAGAACAAGCGAGAACACTTTGTCCCATTATGTAGATAATGCCCTCCCCACTAGAAAAAAATATATTAGTTCAGATCATCAAAATTCATTCAAAAATTTCAACTATATCCCAACTATTTTTTCCCCCAATACTAACAGACTTATTGGGGAGAGGGGTGTGGGTACCACTTGGGATGCCATCCTCTTAAATAAAAAAGTGCACAGAAAAAAAGCGATTTAGACCTTCTGTACAATATCTACAACCTGGGCCCCCAGGGCAGGAAGGGGGCAATTGCTAGATGGACTGCAGGGGAGGGAGCAAGGTCCTTACCATCTGCAAGCTCACATCTACCCTAAATGTAAGGGTGAGTGAGATATGGGAGGAACTAGGGAGCCCCCAGACCAGGGGAAAGATGGTATCAGGGAAAGGGGGCAGGGGAGGCAGCCACTAGTGCTTCTAAAGTCCGAATACCCACTTAAGTAACAGATCATGAGTCAACATTTTTTGAGTTAGATCTGTTTATTGAATAAAGATGATGATAGTGAGCACTAAGAGTATATTCTCAATCATCTCTGCTGTCTAATCCCCTTCTCAAAGAACCAAATTACATGAAAATCGAAAATCACCTAATCCGATAGGCTCGTTTTAAAGAAAGATGAGAAAACGGGACTCAAGATTAACTGTATTGGTGGCCAATTCCATACCCAGCTCGGAGGAGAATCTGGATCCCTAGTCCCAGCGCTCTCCCCGTAACACAATCAGTGACTGCGTTCCCACGGCCAGAAGACCCATTCTCTTAGTATTAGTTGCCTCTTGTATTTTCCAGTTTAAAAGGAAGGAAGGAGGGAGGGGAGGGGGAGGGGGAGGGAGGGGGAGGGGAGGGGAGGGAGGGGGAGGAAGGGGGAGGGAGGGGAGGGGAGCCAATATAACTTCTGTAAGAAATGCAGAATAAAAAACGAAATCCTCTCTTTTCATCTCTGGGTTGTTATTAAATTCATAGATATTTTTTGCCTAGCATACTAATACTTTATTTTCTTGTTTGTAATTTGGTCCAAATAATGTTAGATATTTTAGGCCTTCAAAACAAGGTAACATGGGCTGATTCTGATTCTTTCAATCTTTATTCCCACCAGCTTGACAATTTTATTAGTCAATTAGTATTTGTTAGTAAAAAGAGTATCTTTAAAAAGCATTATTTTGTATGTATGATATATTTACATTTTATCCACTAAGGAAAAACATTATGACCTCTATTTTTCCTACATACATCAAGTCTAACAAATGCTCAATTCGTACTATGTAATCAAGTAATTACCTGTTTGGCTTATTTATGCATATTATTAAATACCATAAGATGACTCAAAAACCAATGTAATAACTTGAGAATCATGTAGTTTTATTAAATATAATTATTAAAATGTTCCACTTTAATTGAAATTTTGATTAATAAAGTACAAAACTACAAGTATATGTTAATTTTTAAAAACATTGATATGTACACTGTTAGAAGGTCAAAAGATTGTGAAAAAGAAGAAAACTTTACCCTTTGTGACAGCACGGACAGAACCAGAAAGCATTACGCTAAGTGAAATAAGCCAGACAACGAAAGACAAATACCATATGATTTCACGTATATGTGATATCTAAGAAACTGAACTAATAGGGAAAATGAGGACAGACTCAAAGATGGAGAGCAGATGACAGCTGGTGCAGGGGGGCCGAGACGTTAGGGGACACAAGGATTGAGCAAAAGGAAAAGGACTCATGACAAGGACAAGAGCGTAGTAATTGCTGGTGGGGAGGTGAATACAAGGGGATTAAATGGTAATGAAAAAATACCATAAAGATTAAATTTAAAAAAAGATAATGTCTCATTTCTACCAATGACTCATTTTACAACCAATCATAAAAGCAAGGGACAAATTTTTCTGTGTTCCGTAAGTTCTGGAAACTCAGGGAGCCCGTGGACGATCTATGTCCTTTTCCCTGTTCAAAAATCCTGTAACTGTCAATGCTGAGTTCTAGTCTCGGGTGTATCTCACTATGAGAATTAATTTCAAGACCTTTTGATACCCATGTCTCAGAGCTAAAAGGAAATCTATAATATCTACCTGTCTTATAGCCAAGAGCTTCATATTTCATGCTATTAATATACATATTGTATCACAGACCTTTCTAATTTTACATGTTTATAAAGTAAAATCAAGGGCAGTAAGCAGAAAAATACCCTCTCCCACAAAAAAGACATCAATACCCTCATCCCTAAACCTGTGAATGCTACATTAAAATTTTTTGTTGCTGTTGAAGGTGTGATTAAGGTTAAAAACCCTGAGATGGAACAATGATCACAGATTACACATGAAGACCCAATCTAGGGAGTCCTTAAAAAGCAGAGAACCTTTCCAGGCTGCGTGCAGAGAGAAGCTACATTACTGGCTTTAAAGATGAAGGGAGGGGTCACAAACCACGGAGGACAGGCAGCCTCTAGAAGCCAAAAGGGGAAAGAAATGCGGATCCTCCTCTAGGGCCTCCCCAAACAACTCAGTCTTGATGGACCCCTTGATTTAACTCAGTAAGACCCATGTCAGACTGCTGGCCCAAAACTCTTAAATAAGAAGTCTGTTGTATCATTTTAAGTCACAAAATTATTAGTAATTTAATAGCAACAGAAAATGAATATTACACATCCAAGAAAATTCTGGAAAACTATGTCAGTAAACGGAGTCTTTAAATTTTTCATAAAGAAAATGTATTTATGGTCTATGGCCATACCGCAGAACATGCCTGATCTCATTTGATCTTGGAAGCTAAGCAGGGTCGGGAAGCTAAGCTGGTTAGACTTAGTACTTAGGCAGGAGAAATGTACTTATGGATTACTTACAGAAGAAAAACTGAATTTATTTGTTCAAAATTCACTAATCATAAATCTCTGATTTGATTATTAGAGCACTGTTTGGGTATATATATAAAATACTTTTTATTAAAATGATTTACATACCTAATTGTTCAATAATGCTTGAAACTATCCCAAGAGGCTTTAATTCCGTATCTTCAGGCAGAATAATAGTGAGTTCTTCAACTGAAGGTAGTTCCTATAATATAAAAAAGCATTAATATTCCTCAGCATCAACAACTTAACTTTTTAAAAAAGGGAATTAGTTTCCATTTAAAGTCCTATACACATCATTTAAGATCTAACATTAAGTATACCATCTCCTTGACCTCGTACTTTTTGTGTCTGGCAGTACTTCTCCCACCCCCTCCATTTCCCCACCTACGTGATACCAGAGGTCTAGTGTCCACACCTAATCCAGATGGACTGAGAGTGTAGAAAAAAGTACCATTCGAAATTTTTCCAATTGCACTTGAACGAGAGAATAATTAAAAAAGAAAGTCACTGTTACAGAATCCAAGGTTAAGAGAAGAGACAATTCACATAATTCTCAGAGGCATTCCATTTGGAAAAAAAAAAAATTCCCCTGGTCGTTTCAGTTTTTCCACAGAAGAAGAGTTCTCTCTCTTAGCTGCCTTGATTTGATTAATCAGTTAAATTGACTGTGATTAAGTTGCTGAGGAGAGATGCAGCAGTCTTTTCTGAGGTTCTGTGAGAAAAGAGATAAATGTCTGGCCTCTCCAGGGAAAAAATACAGAATTCCTGGAAACAGAATGTAGGCATCAGCCCAGAAAAGGCTGTGAGGGTCTTGTCTGTTATCTTCCCCCTGTAGGTTACAAACCAAATTTCTTTACATCAAAAGATTTCTCCTTTCTGACCCAGCACCTGTCTATTTCAGTTGCTATAGAAACTAGACATTGAAGTAGCTGTAAGGTTAAAAAGAAATCTAAGAATAAAGCTGGCATTAGGCTTTAAATTAAATAAACAGTGTTTCTTTCAATTCTTGATCTTTGCCAAAAGATCACAATTAACTCTTAAAAGTTTTAACCTAAGGCTTAAAACTGCAAAGATCCTATTAATGGCATGTTAGGAGTTAGTTTGGGAAAAGATAACTTCCAGGGAAATGTTGAGAAACACACCTAAATAACAGAGTATTGCAGATGAATGCATCATAGATAATGATTTTCCTCTACTGGGACTCCAAAAATGCTTTTAACAAAATCACTTAAACAGTGTTAAAGTATAACTTCCTTCTAGGAGATGCTATTTTCTGATCAAGAATTACTGATAACAAGCCACACTAAGGGTTTCAACTAACTCAATGCTGAAGACTTAACTTCTGTATAGTTGTGGAAGAAATGACTGTGACTTATATATCTGAATTTTTCTGTACTTCGGGAAGAGGACAACCACTTGTCATTTTACCAAGTTAAATGTGGAGAGCATTTTCTCGGCAAGACCATGATTTGGAATAGCCTTGTTTAAGAAGTTCTTAGCTAAAGAACTCCACACCCTGTTAAATACAAGACTGGAAAACTCTACTGTGGAGGGACTGCAGACAGGAGGGCTCTAAATAGTGTTGTGGAGGACAATTGTGGTATGGGTCCCACACCCATTCCAGTGCAGGGAATGGCACCTCTTACAACTGACTGATGGTATTTCTAATGCAGAAATTTAGTGAGAAACTCTGCTCCGTTGCCCATCAAAATTAAAGCAAGATCTGGAGGCAACTCTTTCACTGCTTTTAGACTATGATAAAGCCTACGGATTAAATCAAGTCCAGAGTGTGGTGGCAGAAGATAGGGTAGGGAAATTTCCGAAAAAGGAAGTGCTATTACATCTTTTATAAAACCTCTGCACTGGGCAGGGATGCAGACCACAAGCCATGAACACTTAGGGCTCGAAATCAATGTTATTCTCAAATACTAAACAATCGTTATTCAACCACAAAATGAAAGGATCCTTGTTCTGTATTTTCCATTAGGAGGAATAAAATCCCATGCAATATAATTATGTTTTGGTATAATTCTAAACTGATGCTGTTTTGGTTTTTAAAAACTTTAAAGCATAAAGCTAATACAAATTTCTGTTTTTAATAAAAGGACCACCTAAAGCAGTACAGAAGGATGCAAAGTAAAAAGCAGAAATCCCTCTACCCTAGTCCTTTTAACCTCCCAACTCCTCTCCAACAGACTGCTGTTGTTTAAGTCTGTCAAATATATTTAATATGCAGACATAAACTTCACATTACTAACTTAAAAATGTCTGACTTAAATAAAATATAAAGACATTGTGATATAAACTATCTTCTCTCTCACATCTTGCACATCCTTCTACACCAAAACATAAATAAATATCTAATTTTATTTAAATAGTCTTATGGTATTCCACTATGTAGCAGTATCTGGCTTTAATTTGAATTTTTTTCATTAATCAGGAAGATGGAACATCCGTGTGTGTTTCCTGGCTATTTCTACATATCTATGGATTGTTTGTATATTTCACACATTTGTCTTTATCTCTTTATTAATTTGTAAACGAACTCTAGGTTTTGAAGAACGTTTGTTCTTTATCAAATATGTGGCAAATACCCACCCCTTACTCCTAGCATATTTTTAGCATTTGCTGTTTAATGAACTTTGATATTTTAATTTTTATGAAATCAAATGTATCAATCTCTTCTTTTTCTTGGCTTTTGAGACTTGCGTCAGTCACATTTAGACAGACCTATCCTTGATCAAATTAATTTCTAAAATTCACTGATGTTTTCATCACATTTCTAATTTCATTTTTAATAGTTGCTTATTTATTTGGTCCATTTGAGGTCTTATTCTTATATAAAAGCAAGGTAGAGACTGGATTTATTGTATCCAAATGACTAGCCAGGTATTCCCACATGCTGAAAAATAACTCGTTTCCCCTACTGATTTGAGAAACAAATTTTAGCATATACTAAATGTACTTATACATTTTTGATGAAATCACCATGTGGTTCTACTGATCACTGTCAGTGTCAGTACCAAACTATTTTAACAACAGTGCCTTTCATAATATGTTTTAATATTTGGAAACAGGACCTAGTACCCCTATCCACTCTACATCTGTAGTTAACCCCTTGGAATTTTTCTAGCTATTTGCACACATTTATTTCACTAGATAAACTTTACCACCAGTTTGTTATTTTAGTATTGTTAGTATTGATTAAAATCATATTTAATTACAGTTGTCTTCTTACAGGTCCTACAGAGTCCTTAAGTTATTCAAAGCCATTTTGTACACTATTTGCTATTATAAATTACTAAATATTTAATATTTTTACTGCTATTATAAATGGATTCTTTATAGAGTACTATTTAAAAGCCAGAGAGTATATTGAAATTTGTGTCTAGTGATTTTCTTGTGTATTTATTATATTACCGTATTTCAAAAATATAACTACTCTTCCTTCTTTTCGGGATTAGTACATCATATTTTTCACTTTTCAATATTGGTTGGTACTTCCAGAATGTCAAATATCAAGCAACGTGAAGTCTGACTCTTTATTAGGAATGTTTCAAATGTTAGCATAAGGCATTTTGACTGGCATTTCTTTCTAATAAGATGAAGAAAGTATCCATCTACTCCTATCTTATCAACTGTTTTTTAAAACTAGAAATGACTGTGAACTTTATCAAATGCTTTTTTATCACCTTTTGAGATCAGCATAATTTACTCTAAGTTGAGCAGGTCAGTCTAAGGACTGAGGACGTCCCTGCTCTCAGGATGCTAAGGACCATACAGCACGAGGAAGACAAGGCGAGATGCACAAAGCCAGGGTATCTGTAGTGGGCAGAGACTGACACCGGCCAGAAACAATCTAACAGGCCCCCTTGACTCCTGTTGCTACCCTAGTTTATCCTATGTATGAACAGAAATGAAAGTTCTGCCTACAAACGGGGAAGACCACTAATCTCATGAAGGACCAAACTTAGGGGAAGAAACAGCCACAGACACTGCTGTCTGCGACCACCGCCGTGCTCCCATTCCAGTTCAGCGACCCCAGTGCCTTGCTAACACAGTAATGTAATACCATTCCCTGAGCATTTCCTGAAAAAAGCCAATGAAGGCATTAAGTTGCCTCCTAACACTTACGGACCTGCCTATAAAAGTGCTGTGCATAAAATTTCTATTCCAAGTATCTGCACAACACAAAGCCATGTAAAGAAGTAAATACTGTACATAAAGCATGTAAGACATAACTGGGATCAATAAGTGAAAATAAGCCTGTACAATCCCAGGCTGAGAGCCCGCTAGAGTTTGCCCTTCAAAGTCCAGTTAAATCAAGCAGTGTAGGCCTATTTGCTTTGAAAATGGCAGGCATTTTGGGACTGACCAAGGGAGAAAAGATACGTTTCTCTTAAATGAGCATGCTAGAAAAGAAGGACAGAAGGGGGGGAAATATCGCAAACTCCAAGAAGAATTCACCCAAGTGATGTGCTTTCCATAAAGATTTTTGGCAGATTCAAAAAGGGAGAACTTTAGAAGGTTCAAAGGGAAAGTTCCTTGGATTTGTCATATCAGAATGGGCAATAAGAGATCCTGTATTGATGTTTGGATGCCAAACGTCACCCCCTCTTCCCTAATTGCTAAATCTGAAGTATATACCACTAATAGACCAGTCACTCTATCAGAATGTGCTGCTGCTTTTCTTTCCTGTAAACACATTACTGTCTCACATCCTATTTGTTTATTCCTTAAAGTCTGTTTTCCTAACTAGACAATATATGCAACAAGAACTTGAACCTGGCCAGTCTTTGACTGGCACATAAAAGGTCCTTAATATATATTTACTAAATAAATTGACTTATCTCATCAGTACATGCTAAACAAAAATCTCAAAAGAGGTGAGCATCTTTCAGTCAGAGCAAAAAACTATATATTGAAAATATAATTTTTAGAATTCAAAGGAGAATTCTCAAGGAATAAAAAGAACTTCAACCAACTGTCTCAAAAATAAAGTAAGAAAGGCAGGCTTCGAAGTAAGCTTCACTGCTCAGGGCTGATAAATCAATACTCAGGTTTGCAGCAGCAAACATTATTGTAGTTATTAGATTAACCCCTGGCTCCCTGATAACACAGCAGCTGCCCCAGGTAAGATACAAAAATCTCCTCAGTCTCATGGGACTCATAATCTCTTTTAAGGGAACAAAAAATCAATCA